GGGGAGTTCACTGTGTGTTACAGTGTCTCCTGCATGGAGTATGCAGTAAAATTGTAGTTTATTTAACAGAGAAGCAGCAAACTAAAAGAAATAGGGCACTCTCCATCTACCATGTGTTGCCTCGTGACTGTGCAGTCATTCCAGAATGGAGTCATGGCTGTGCTTCTGTTGTTTGGCATTTGCAGTGTATACTCCTGCAAAAATGAAGTGCTTAGGGCCCAAACCTGTGGGCAAATACGGCTGGTGGATGTGAGGATGGACTTGGAGCTGTTGGAGAGAGTCCAGAGGAGGGACACCAAGATGATCAGAGGGCTGGAGCAGCTCTGCTGTGAGGAAAGGCTGAGAGGGTTGGGATTGTTCAGCCTGGAGAAGAGAAGCTTTGGGTGACCTAATTGTGGCCTTCCAGGACCTGAAGGGAGCCCACAAGGAAGATGGAGAGAGACTATTTCCAAGGGCCTGGAGTGACAGGACAAGGGGGAATGGCTTCACACTGACAGAGAGTAGGTTTAGATTGGATATTGGGAAGAAATTCTTCCGTGTGAGGGTGGGGAGGCCCTGGCACAGGTTGCCCAGAGAAGCTGTGGCTGCCCCTGGATCCCTGGAAGTGTCCAAGGCCAGGTTGGATGGGGCTCTGAGCAATCTGGTCTAGTGGAAGGTGTCCCTGCCCATGGCAGGGGGTTGGAACGAGATGGTCTTTGATGTTCCTTCCAACCCCATCCAGTCTATGATTGTATGAATAAAGGATAAGACAGAATATGGAGTGGCCTTGCCCTACATTACTTAACTGGGATAAGCCTGGATAGAGGGTTTCCATGTCATGAAAACTGTAAACTGTAGGGAATACAGGGATCAAAGATAAGGCACAGATTTAATTTCCTTGTTTTGAAATACCCTGGTTTGTCCCACAGTATTCAAAGAAACCTCAGGTGGGTGTGAAGAACTGAACGGGATAATGTTACATCAGTCTCTAGACGTGTCCAGGTTAATTTTGGGGTGATTAACTTGCAAAAGAAGCAATATTGCTAACCTTGGGGACTAAACTTCATAAATTAATAAATCTACAACACAGGATAAGTAGTAGAAACAATGGTTTTATGCCATTTTTTCTTAAAACTGTCCCACAGGTTTGCTTCTTTTCTATGCCTGTGCAGGCTCTGCCTTTGCTTTCAGGATGTTACTGTTTACTAGCAGCACCATAAAGCAGTGGCTTCTCTACTAGAGACTGAACTGAGACCTACAAACACATCCCACACGGTTGCAATGTGCTTGTGACAGCCACTGGGACACAAAAATCCACACTGCTGACATGCAGGTGAGAGAGGCTTTGGAATGAAATCCCTGTCATCAACATCCCCACTGCTGGAGCTGCTCAGTCTCAGCACTGCAAAGGTGCTGGGAGTGCAGGGGAAGAAAATGAGAAAACAAAAGGGTACCAGGAGAGACTGCCTGTTCCATCTTCCCTCTAACAGTAATCTGGTGTGTCACTTGTTCCTGAGCTGTTCCAGGTGACCTGAAATGCAGTGAGGAGAATATCAACATTAATGCTGCACTAGTATTCTGACAATTGACTGTGTGCCTGCACATAGCTCGTGTGGACTGCTTCTTATTTCATTGTTTAAAAATAAATACCTTGGAACATAACAGTAGCCACTGCAGAAGAACCAAACTGAAAGAAAAAAAAAGGATGGCTTATCAACCACAGGACCCTGCTGATTTGAAATCTGCATTTTGAATGTATATTTAAAATTAAGTTTGCTAGTATTCCTCGTGAGAAAGGATTGTGGGGACCACTACAGTGGAGAAAGGACTAGGTCAGGCAGCATCTCCTTCTGCCCTGACTCCTGCAGCCCCTTTTCCCATCCTGAGGTTCCCACCAACCCCACAAAAGAGTTTGGAAGGTAGCCAGCCTTGTCCTCTCTATCCTGTTTTTTTTTTACCCACAAAACAGACACTTGCACTGGGATGGAAAGCTACACTTCTGATCTGGCTCTGTCACATAATTGAATTTCACTTTTCAAATAATCTAAGCTTTCCTAATGACTATTTGGCATGGAAAAGGTCCATTTTCCATCTAGAAAAAAAGCCACTCTGTGGTCAATTAGCTTCAAGGGTAAACCCTCTTGATTATTGCAATCAGATTTTCCCTACATTAAATGCCGTGAAAAACCCAATTCAAGAACAACATAAAATCACTCAGGAAGTCATTAAGTTATATCTGAGCTCAGTGCATGCTCACAGATATTCCTCTGGAATTAATACACACTAGAGGACAAGTTATCTATAGGATACTTTGTGAAGGTGTTTATTAAGGTAGTTTTTATGGTAAAACTTACTCGTATATAAGTTCTATAGTTATAACTTACTAGTTATAACTATGACCACTATGGACACAGGGATTTAACTGACTCTCTATATATTCCATGCAAAATAAGAATTGGGTTTTATTCTTTGTTTTGTTTGGTTTTTTCTCTGATTTAGTTTATACAATTTTGAAAGAGAAACAGGTTAAGCCAGGAAAAAGGCATTCTAGTTTGGAATAAGACTATCCATATAGGATGCATTAGGTGATTTAAGTTTCTATTCCAGTTTCCCACATTGAAACTACCTTTATATGGGACCAAAACTTTTGTGCTTCTGAGTCATCAGTTTCTGGTGTCTGTCAGAATCCCCTCTGGTTTCAGGACTGAGAAATTAGGACTACACAAAGATTATGATCGTTTCCATATGAACATAGGGCCATAGTGAGTCAAAAGGCCCTACACACTAATGTGACATCCATCATTGTTACAGCACTACAAATGCATCCAGCACCTGGAAAAATCATAAACTACTGTCTATAACAATCACTGGCAGTAAAATACACAAAATTATCTGTACTCTGTAAAGCAACTAGTATGTGTGTGTGCTTGTGCGTGAGGGTTCTGTGTCCTCACTTTCAGAAGCACATCCCATGGCCCTTTCAGCTGCAGTAAACTCAGCTGCTCTGTCATTTCTTACCCTGTGCAAGAACCTATAGATCTGCATCTCTGTCTCAGCTGGTCTGGACAACTCTTCGTGGCAAAATGGGCAAGTGGGATTGAAGATAGTGCTCTTGACAGTCTGCCTTGTCTGAAAGAATAATGCTATGAGGTAAAATGATTTTTAAGGAATATCTGAATGAAAGCCTGACTTGGCTGTGAAGGAGATATATTTTTAGGGCTCTGTGACACCAGGATTTAATGAGTTGCTACAAATCAGGTACATCAGTGTCAAGCTGAATTTTTAACTTTCTGTAATCTGAAGTGTTCTTTTAAATCTCTTTTGCTGAAAATAAAGCAAAGACCCTTGTTTTCATTTGCTCTGAGACAACTGTGTACAGAGTTACTGTTGATAACATCACAGGTCACAAGATGAGCTGGTTTTTGAGACATGAAATTTCCACAATGTGAACCAACACCGAGCACATGGTGTTAAGGGCTTCCTCCCCATAAAACTGTAAAATGTCATATGGTTTTCTTTGGCTATTGCAATACTTCCACTGAGCCCTGACTATCATGCAACGAACCTAGAGACCAGAAAGCAAATGACTTGGCCATGGTTTTCCTGAGGTCATTTTAATTCATCAAGTTTCTCTGAAACCGTGGAATTCTTAATTAGAAAGCATTCAATCCAGTGTCACTGAGAAAAACACCAATTCACTGCACTTCCAAAGTGCCTCTCAGCTAAAGATAGAGAAGGTTTTTACAAACACTGCTGACTCACACTGCCCCCAGGAGAGAAGTGTTATTACTATGATTTTGCATAAGACAAAGATGAAAAAGTCTGTACCTGGGCAAAAAGCCCCACTTCATGTATAGAGTGAGCAGGCAGGCACAAACAATAATCCTCCAGTTTGTTTTCTTCTCTATTTCTACCTGATGTGATAGGCTGATTAATCTTTTTCTTCTTATACATATATATAGATAGATAAAAATGTATAAAGCACTTTGGAGAACACTAAACACTGTAAGCAACATCAATACATATTGCACAAATTAATTATTATAATTATTATAATAAGTTGTATATATCAGTAGTGTAATGGACAAACCCCACAATTCTTATGGCTTTTTGTAACAGAACTTAAGAAGTAAAATAAGGGTTTGGAATAATGTTTCCTGACATCTGAATATCTAATGATATTTTGTAGTACAGATATAAACAAAATATTCTGCATGACAACGAATTGTGGAACTGATATTAAGTAAAATCAAAGAAACAGCTCCCAGGGAAGAATCTAGAAATCAAGAAGGTGGAAAGAGGAACTTGCAACAACTCAAGTTTGAGTGTCTACGTATTTACATGTGAAAGCTTCACATGATTCTGGGTCTTTAGGTAGGGTAGTGCGTGCAATGGAGTCTTCAATAGATAAAAAAATACATCTGAGTGTGCATTTAAACTTTCTTTTTCCTGGAAGGAACACTGTAAATAGATTCCAAATTAAAGCAAACCTAAGATGTAAACAAGTTCTCTAGAATTAGATGTGTCCAGCTGTGCTCAAGTTGCAATGCCCGAATCCAGATGCTTTCCATTTGTGGTCTGGCACAGGTCTTTCTCACAGAAAGAAGACTAAAAGGATTTTCAACAAAATAAAGAAATTCTTGTGTTCTGAATTGTGGGGGTTTTAAGCTTTACCATTTTTTCTTTGGTTGCTTGGTTGTTTTGAAAACTGTTTGAAAACTCTACTCAACCCTCCTGACTGAATAGGCCTCCTTCTGCCTTCCCCACTCACACAGCTGGGAGCTGAGGATTTTTCTTCTGGCTAGTTCCTTCATGTTGATGACAACAGTCATTATTTCCACACAGCTACCTTGAAAAGAAAGTCAATTTAGGAATCAAACACGGTACAACAAAAACACTCTGTTTCTTCTGACTTTCTGGAAGAACATTTTAAACAAACGCCACATCAGGATGAATATACAATCACAAGGTCACTGGTTGTCAATAAGATACCTTTACTTTAAAGGATCAAACTCTCCCTTGCAGACTTTTGGTTGAATTGGATTTCAGCAAGCATTGGCTGGCCAAAATCACAGGTGGCTGCCCATGAACTGCACGTGCTTCTCCAAAACTTTATCACCCTCTGAATGGAGATCATGTCATTTTTATCCACTGTCTTTCCCTCTAGTTGGTGCTCTCAGACTATCTGCCTTACACCATCCACACAAGTCTCACTGGAAAAATCCTCATGGCTTTGGCTCCCTCTGTTCACTGTCTGCAGTTCTCCATGAATTCCTGGCTGGGAGAGAAGAAGTTTTTTCACTCCATGACCCCGGATTTCTGTCAGTTCCATGAACTGTGTCCAGACCTAATCTCAGCCCTGGACATACTTTTACCATAGAATCATCTCTTAAGTTACTCCACGTCTCTACTGACATCAGCACCACCTTTAAGCAAGTCCACCTGGAGATTTCATAAGAGCTGGGTATTGTTAAGACGTGAGCAATCTCTGGACTTCATTTTACCACCCCATTAAGTGACTTGGTCACAGACAATGTGCTGCAATGGGAGACAAGAAGATAAAGGGCCATCCTTAGTCATGGCTTCTTGAAGGTCAGGATGCTCTGCCAAAATTATCCAGGACGGAACTGCTTTTTCACAGCTGCAACCACAGCCTTGCCACAACAATCACCTGCTGTCACTTCTGGTCACCCACAAAGGTGGGAGAGGTATTTGGGTTCCATAAAGTCTTTGAAAAGCCTCTTATCAAACCCCACCTCCTCTCTCACTCCACAAAACCATGGTTACATCTTTGACTTGTTTTTGTTGGCACTAAAGTATCCACAATGTAATTTACTTGACCATGATGGAAGGAGGTGAGTTGTTTGCTTGTTTATATTGCCACATACAATTATTATTTATCCCCTTGATTTTCCTCCTCAGCAAGAGGTTTGACCTCCTGCGGTTTTTCTCCTCCTCCAAAATTCTAGATCAGAATAACGTGCAGGTTTTGCTTCCTGAAACAAAAATACTCAAATGCACATTACATTGTTGTTTTCTAAGTGGCAAACAATAAATAGATAAGGAAATATTTTTTGATTTTTCATCTCCCTGGCAGATAGGGAAACACAGTGTCAGGCCACAAGGTGTCATGGCTGAGAAAGCAGCAATAAAGAAACCAGAATTCCCATGTGATAGTACAGCATTTGCTACCTGACAAACAAAGGCAGGGTATTTTGATAACTTTCTGTCACCCTAGTGGTCGCCTTTACTGGATCACCCCCTTCCTTAGCACCACAAAACCTCAAAATTCCAGATATGGATCGGCATTCAGCAAGAAACTGAAGTTATTTTAAGGTTTTGAAGGCTACAGAAGAACTTAGGCTGGCAGAGGGTGCATAAACACACTCAAAGGTACAGTCTCCTGGAGCACCTGAGTGTCAGCCAGAGGGAATGACACTGCGATGAGCAAGCTGAGGAGCTTTTGCTCTGTGTCTTAGCAACAACAGGAACAGTTCATTGATCCACACTGGTCAATTGATCTACTGGAGAAAGCAGCTGACTTAGTTTCTTATCATGGGATATCACTGTTATGTCTTGTTTGACCTCCTGCTACTCAAAAACTGCATCTGTGTGTTTGTACAACATCATTTATAGTGGCCAATGTTATTGCTCAGTCTTGCCTGTGACATGTTGATGTCCAAGGGCAGAAATATCTGCAGATATTTCTGGAAATCACAGGGCAGTTCCATAAAGTATGGAAGTCAAGTGCTTGGGACAAATCAAGAGAGCAAACACACCATGATATGAGTGCATCTCATCTCACTCAACTCTCAATTTCTGGGACAAAACCCATGAGAACCGTGGAAAGAACAGAAAGCTCTCAGGCTTGATGCATTTGCTAGTGAAGACAGTGCCAGGAATTGGCTCCTTTTCACTGGCTAAATATGTTCCTCGTCTGCAGGTTCAATTTGCCACTGAAAGCTTAATTAGGTTTCCTTAGCAACGGGGAAACATTCTGATTGACAAAACTCACTGGTTTTGGCTGAGGCTTCAAAGTGCTCACTTCACCATCACCCCACGGTTATTTTTAAACTCCTTGCAAAATTCACAGCTGAGCATTTTGATTCTGAGTGAAATTCATAACAACAACAGAAAAGAAACATCGCCAGAGTGATGCATTTCTGAGAAAACAGGAGGTGGGAGCTCAGCTCTAACTTTGTGATCAGTAGGAGGGTTTTTTTCCCTCTTGTCCCTCAGTCTGAGAAGAAAATGAGGTTGCCTGGGTGAAGAGGAAACCAAACAGACAGTTCTACAATGAATAAAAAACCCTAAAATTTAAAGATAATGAAGAATGGAGTGAAACACCGTTTGAAGATAACTTAAGATATGACAAAAAGAGATTGGAAAGATAATGTTTGACTATTATAGAGGAGAGCTGGGAGCTAGAAAGGGTACAACAGATGTATGAGAAGGTAAATACTCAAAGCTAAGAAGCAAATGTGATCAAACAGTATCATTTCTGCAGTTTTGAGTGGGCTTCTGAAATACAAGCATATGTTAAACTGATTTTGAAAAGCCAAATTAAGCATCTAAGAGGAAAATGCAAAAATACTTTGAATTGCTAATTCAACTCAAAGGCATTGACCTAACTTTACTGTAATGTGGCACTAGGTAAGTAAGTATCCTTATTTAAAGATAATAGTGATTAAAAGTGTGCTTGTGCAAGTTATCAATACTGCTTTCTGTAAGTTGCTGATATTATAAAGCATTTATGAACAAGTTGCAGAGTCCTTGCTGAATAGGGAAGCTTTCTTGGACCAGGACCTAAACAAGACTGCAATTACTGTGGGCCCCAGTGTTCATGCCAGTTATGAACCTGTTAGTTAAAAACTTTAATCAAAGAAAGAAAAATCAAGAGAGGGAAAAAAATAAAGTAGTCATATGGTTCAAAATCATCATTCCATTGTATATTTGAAGATCATCATTCCACTACCATCTGTAATAATGTCTAGTGGCATACTTGTACAAATCTGCCTAAAGCACTTGTAATTTTTGGGTTGTAATAAAATAAGAATGATGTTTGTATCTCTATGTATTCAGTTCTGGAAAAATCCAGCAGTAATATGTACCACACACGAATATTTATAAGAGTAAAATAATGGTTATACCCTTATTTAATTTTTAATCTGATATCTTGGGTATTATTAACTCTCCTGGCAGTATTAAGAGGAATAATTTCATAATTCAGTAGTGAAAAGAACTGCAAATGAACCGTAAGTAAATTGAGCTGAATTATCTTTTGCAAAGATCTGAGAAAGAGAGACTGAGGGTATGTGGGTTGCATGTGAAAACCTACAGAAATCAGATGTATTTAGTGTGTGACAGATCACCTTGCTCTGAGTTCTGCCTTCAGAGTTCCCACGCTCAGGAAACAAATCTGCAGGTATGGCCTCTCTCTCTGCCAGGTCACAACCAGCACTCCCAGCTGCCAATTCCTCTCTGTCCCCAGCTCTTCCCTGTCCAGGAAACTATCAGAACAGGTATGGGGGACCCAGCTCTGCAGAAGAGCAGAGTGACACACAAGACAAAATAAGCTTTAGCAAATGAGACAAACCAGGATTACACAAAATAGACACCCAGTACCTGATGCTACCAGTGATTCAGACAGAGCAGGAAACAAACCATGAAATCAGGTCCACTACAGCTGATTGCATCAGGTTTTAATCTTAGAATCACAGAACGGTTTGGGTTGGAAGGGACCTCAAAGATCATCTCGTTCCACCACCCCTGCCACAGGCAGAGACACATTCCACTGTCCCACGTTGCTCAGAGCCCCATCCAAACTGGCCTTGGACACTTCCAGGGATGGGGCAGCCCCAGCTTCTCTGGGCAACCTGTGCCAGGGCCTCCCCACCCTCACAGGGAAGAAATTCTTCCTGATATCCCACCTAAACACACCCTCTTTCAGTTTGAAACCATTCCCCCTTGTCCTACCACTACCTGCCCCTATAAGAAGTCCCTCTCCAGTTTTCTGCTTTACCTGGATTTAACAGTTGAGAAAGATCTCCCTGACACTCCTCCCTGGTTGCAGAATTACTGTTTGTGTGTTAAAGACAAGCAGATGCATAAATACTTTCCTGTCTCAAGCTGAAAGGCTCTTCCTAGGCTGGCACTCCCAGAAATGGGGAAAAATTCCTGCTAACTGTGCAGTCACATATCCATGCCAGTCACAGAGTGACCTCCTGGGTATATTCAAATTAATTCACCAGTCTGGTTTTAAGTGTCCACTAAAGAGTGCTACAAAGTTGGATTCAGGAGCTGGATACCCAGTTCCTTTAAAATTAATGGCAGCTGAGCACTTAAATCTTACCAGTGGTTTAAAACACTAAATGGAACAACGAGTACAAGTGGAAGACTATACTGAAACTCATTTTTATTTACCTGTTCATCCTAAACCTTCCTATGTTTCACTTGGTTCTACTCCCTTTAGTTCTGTTTCCTGGATCTAAGACTGCTTCCCCTCTTGCTGTGATTCCTGAACCCCCTCACCTTGTTTGTCCAACACACATTTTACTCATTTTAACCTTAATCAGCCTCTTTGGGCACTTTTTCACTCTGTCCTCCTCCCCTGAGTCCTTCCAGGATGTCAACAGCTTTGTGGGTTTGACATATCCAAATTACACACTGATTTTCTCATTACTGCCTAATTAACAATTCGCAGCCAACGTAAGTCTCCTTCTCTTACCAATTCATAATATTTTGTTTAATTTCCTAAGTGCACCAGTATTAGTGACAAGAGTCACTTAGAGCAGTGGTCTTCCAGGGGAAGTGCAAGGCAATCCACTGACACTCAGGAAGAAAATACTTTTTTAATATTAATAAATATAATTGATTTTTAAAATATTTTAAATAGTATTTTGAATATTTATCTCCTCCTTTGAAATATCTATTTGTGTGCACGCTTTATAATGTACATAATATATTCTTGCAGTAGCAAATATAAATAATTTACAAATAAATAGATGTGTTGAGGGAGAGGGACAGAGAGAACTCACCTGGTACAGGGTCAGGCCTTGATGACTTGAAAAACTGCTGCCATCATTCCCATCAACGGGAAAAGTGAGGGTTCGGTGGGAGACACTTAACTTTGGCACCAGGCACTTTGATTAGGGAAAAGAGATGTAGAAGTCTATTTTTCCTCCTGTAAACAGAAATTCAATTAAGTCTACTGTGTGTATTTCACATATTTTGCACATGCATGTATGTGCACAAGTTACAAAAAATATGTATATTTTATATATTACTGCATTATTTCTTGTATTGCATTAGCATATTTATTCATGCCTTTTGCATAAATTTACAGTGGTTCCTGCACACATATTTTAAATTTATGCAATACACCTAAAAGACAGCACACATATATTTGATGCATTTTGCATTTAGTTCCAGGTAGAAGAACTGCAACTTCTACATAATTTGACATATCACATTATAATTTACCATTTGCCTTTGGTTATAATTCTGCCAGACTTGAACTCTTTGCACTGAATTTTTACATAATTTCTCTCTCCTTCTGACTTAGTTTCTTTGGAGAGTTTGAGCAAAAGTGATTTAGCCATTTTTAAGAACAAAGTTTGTGAAGAACAGCCAGTGTAACCTATGCCGAAAACTGTTCATCTTCTGAACATCTCCAGCCACAGTCTGGAGAAGAAATTTAGAGAAGAGCAACCACTCCAAACATGAGAAGGATCACCCACCTTTTTGGTGAAAATATATTCAGATTGGCCAATTCTTTACTTTTTAAATACATTTTTTTTCCATTGCAAAGCCCCTGTGACAAATATTTCTTAGAAAAAACCACCAGTATTGTGTTTCTTTTTTAAAACAGTGAATGGCTCAGCTCTGGTGTTCCTGACCGAGACCTGGGTGCCCAAGCTGGACCAATGACCCACACCTTTTCCACGGTTTTCCCAATTCTAAGTTTGATACAAAGCCTAAAAGGCAGTTCTGAAGCAACTAGTTTTCAGTCCCTACCCCGCATCAAAGCACAGTGGGCTGAGAGAACAGCAAGTTCAGGTCCACCCTCCTCAAGACGAAGGTTCTGTGAACATCAACATTTTTGGCTGGAAGTGTTCCAGGTTGTGGTCTCTAAATGTTTCAGGCTCAAAGGATAATACATAATAATGAAGTCACATTTTAAGAAGAATTTTACTTGGGTTTTACTTCCTGCTCAGTCTTGACTGACAACGAGTGCACTCCTATAAGGAGATTCGGGCTGGATTCCTGTTTGAAGGTTAAGGTTAATTCTTATTTTCTAAATGCAGAGCTTTTCCAACAAGATGCTCATTTCAAAGCATTCACTTACAGAGCAAGGCTGGTACCATGCTGCAGCTACAGAGTACACATAATGAGTGTCAGATACCTTTTAATGAAGCTTTGTCTTTTTTTGTTTCTTTTCCTCTCTGAATCAGTTCTTGTAAATTCCTGTTCATTTTCCCATCCTTCTTTTTGCTCAGTCCTTGAGAAAGTTTTATGATAATATACTCAAATGTTTCACTTTCCGCTTTCACCCCCATCCTTGTCTTCTGTTCCAGTAGAGAGGAGTGTACCAAGCCATAGCCTGAAAAAAACCAAAGAACGTATCACAGCTTATTTATATTCTACATTTTTTCATCAGGAAAATTGTTTGCTGTAGGCAAACAAAGGAGGGCTGAAAGGGGAGGCACTCCAATGTATTTCTGAGTTATTTAACATTTGAAAGACAAATACCAATCACAACCAACAAATTCCAGAGTTTTTACTGCAAAATCCATTTCCAGTCTTTAAATATATTTAAGGTGGATTCATCATCTAAGACCCTTTAAATTCTGCTGCTCCAATTAAGTAAATTGGCCAAAGAAGGAGAGAAAAGAGGACAGGACTTCTGCAAGTGTGTCAAAGGCTGCTGAAGGAAGAAAAAGCAAACTGTTCCCCATGTCCACAGTGGATAGGACAGGAAGGAAAGGACTAAAACCGAGGCAGAAAAAATTCCATTTAGGCACTAAGAAAGCTTTTATGAGCACACAGAGAGTGAGGCACTAAAGCAGATGACCTGGGGACATGGTGGAGTCTGTGTTTCTTAAGATCTTCCAGAACTACCCAGGCAGGCCACAGCCAGGAGCAATCACATCTCAAGTTTCCTTTCAGCCTCTGATCTCCTGGCACTGTTGTAACAGTGAGTATGGCCAAACTGAGCTAGAAGGGGAGTAAATGTGAAAAGGTGAGGCCAAAAGTCAACATGCACTCAACAGTTACAAGACATAATTCACACTTGTGGAGCCCCAGCTTCAGTCGCTGTGAGGGTGGCAGCCCTTCAGTCAACAAGTGATGGCATCAATCCACTGTTTTTCTTCTATCCTTCAGATCCTAAAAATTCACATCCACACTGAAGCAAGGTGATCACAGATCTGCTGGGTTTGCTTTGCTTGATTCTACGGGGACTTTAACCACATGATCCTAAACCTCTGAGGGAAATGCAGTGATAGGGCTGTCTGTCCTGGACTCAGGTGGTGATTTTTCTCAGGGCACTCACTTGACCACTGTGCTCACAGACAATGGCAGCACAGTCAAGGCTTGTCCTAAATCTCCCCAGGTCCTTCCAAAGAAAATCTGAGGGAGATTTGTGAAGCGTTGTAGCATCTGCTGTCCAAACCTGCAAAGATCAAGAAGCCATTAGATTAAAGCCAAAATAGCTCCTAGATGTTTATACAATATAAGGATTCAGTAAAACAACAGCTTTTCCTTTTTCTTTTTCATTTTTGTAACACTGGTCACTGTTTGATCTGTGAAATCAAAGCTGAAAGAACTTGCAGCTTAGTTATAGTGATTATTTTCAAGTACCTTTCCTGTGGATTAAGAGAGATTAGTAAAGACACATTTTTTTCAAGGTGTGATAGTAAATCCTGGGTTTTTTGGTCTGGCTTGCTGAGAGTAAGATTAAAAACAGGCAGTTTCTTTTCTTTTCTGAATTACCAGGGGCAACAGAAGAGATCTGTGATATCAGCTTTAAAATTCCAGTCTCTGCTTGATTCTGGATTCCCTCTGTTCAGGGAGAAGCTGTCTCTACTGGAGACTAGACATTTTTTTAACTTTTATCCCTATATAAAAGATTTAACAACATTGTGCTTTAAAAAGTGAACACAATTATCCGTGACCTTCCTTTATCACTAACACAGCAGCAAAAGGACCCATCATGAAAACATTTCTCTTACATGAGACAACACCTTTTTGCAAATGGTGTTCCTAAAGGATTTGGCATTTGCCATCTGTGAGAAAATGGCTTCAACCTTTTCCTGGGAGCCAAAGCAATTCTAATCCAACTTCAAAGGAGAAACATCTCAAAAAAAAATAAAATTCACCTTTCCAAAAGTGCTCCCCCTGCTCTGCCAAGGTGGGCTTGTGGCTTTTTCACACATCCACCAGAAGACAGCATTGGCTTTTGCTCTTCTGGGCCCCCCAGGACTGCATTTCCAGCTTTCTTATAGGAAGGCTCCCACAGGGATGCACTGTCCTGCACTGAGCTTGGTAGTGAACGTGGACTTTGCCTCTTTTAATTCTGCAAGGCAGAATATTTTGTTCTAGAGGAAGGTGTCCCTGCCCATGGCAGTGGGTTGGAACGGGATGATCCAAGTCCCTTCCAACTCAAGCAATTCTGTGATTCTGTGAAACAGAAACTGTTATGAACCTTCTACCTTAACCAGTTGTTCATCCAAGAGCTCTTTAATTATAATATTAACAGCAACATTTAGTAGTTTTCATTACCAGATGCATATATTTGTGGGTTTTTATTTAAAGCTTTTTTGGGATAGGATGAAATCATCTGACTCTGCATCTTAAATCCTACCTACCTCTTTAACTCTTATTCAAACTGGCAAAAAGGTACATCTGAGCTAGCTGGAGGGGAAGTAATTCCTGAGGAGCAGCAGCCCATGCACTGAATTTTTAACATTTAGTCTGGCAAAACATCAAAGGAGAGCACATCATTATCTTCCTTTTACAGAATAGGAAACTAAGGCACAAGAGTATCATCATCTTGCCTAAAATCATCCAAAGCAAAGCCAGGAACAGAGCCCCATAGCCAGAACAGTGGTTTAAGGCTTCCTGTGCTTGATAACATCTGTCCTCAGACAGTGGACACACCCTGGAAAACAACATCATTTCTCTTTTTATTTTCAGTTGAGATCCTACTCTGGCGATACCTCAGTCTATAGAGAAAACCGTATCAATTCCTTCATTAGCAACACACAAGACTCATTTCTTTTCTAGTTCCATGATTTATGGATTTCTGATCCACCTCTGTTGACAAACACTGGCACAACTCAATACTCTGACAGTACAGGGAGCTTTTTCTGTGAGTAAAAGTTGGAAAAAGGAAAACATGAAACATATCAATCCCCATTGCTTTGCTCTGTTTCAGAGAAAAAGTTCAGGATCTTTACAAAATGAGTGCCCAGATGAACTTCACCAATTTTCGAATTTCCAGGAGCACTAAAAGTACAAAAGTTGATTTGGAAGTGTAAAAGCGTTGCTTAATTGAAAAAAAAAAAAAGCATGTATTTTTTATAACAGCAAGTCTAGATGTCAGTAGTTAATGGTAAGTAATTGGACCACAAGCAGAATATTTACGGCACTGCCACTCTACTTTTTATGCAGCACCTTTCATCTGAAAAAAAAAGTCCATTTGCATTAAAATTAGTATATTCTGTTTCTCTTTCACACTTAGGTAGAATCCATTACCATCAGAAATTAAAAGGTTCCTTGTGGGGCAAGAAGTCATCAGTATAGTGTTTGAATTTGGGCTTGTCTAAATTTATATAGGCTCCAACCTCTAAGGCTGCCTGGAGTATTTAGCCCAATGTGGGTAGTGGGAGTTATGCAGCTGACTCCATAAGTTTAGACAATTCCTCCTATCCATCATTTCTTCTGCCTCTCTGCCTCTCACCACTTTTTTTTTCTTCCTGGAGAAAGACAAATCTTCATTATTAACACTTTATTAACTCAAAGAGTCCCTGCTACAAGACTGAGATTTCCTCCCTCCCTTGTTTCACAATCACAGCAGAGCAGGGTCTGTTCTCCATCTGCAGTAAGATCAGGGACTTCTTGTGTGAGCAAGGGAACACTCAATCTCCCTCAAGCACTGCAAAACAAATTCATCACTTGAGTGTTCCTTTAAGTAGTGCACATGTCAAGGGAGCACTTTTAAATGCTCAGTCCCAGACTGTAATACTCATCATAGGTCTTATTAGACAAGTTGTGAATGAAGTTTAAGAATCATTCAGCTTTTCATGTGGCATCGACTGCAATAAGTTTCGTTACTTAGCACTGCTGCAGTGTCTTGCCTTTCTTCTGTGCAGGTAATGCTTTTGCCCTTGCCACATTCATCTTGCTCCAGTAAGCTTAAGTCAGACCTCTGTGTGTACAGCAAAATTGTCCCAGCAGCCCAGACAGCCTATGTGCTTGCTTAAAATAGCCAAACCCTCATGCACAGTGTGACAAATACTGCCCACCCACCCCAAATAACTCAGCTGTGTGGCGTAGCAGTGAGTCACGCTCGCTCAGGACAGCCAGGCTGCCTCCAGGCTGCTGCTGGCATTGATAGATTTGGAAGCAGAGCCGCAGGGAACTGCCCCCTCCCTGTCCAGGAGTCATGAACAGCGAATACAACACTTGGCTGCCTCTCCTCTGCCTTCCAGTAAACTTTGGGAACTCCTGAGACCCTCTCCTCCCCATAGTCCTGCTCTATTTGTGCTTCACATCAGCACAAAGAGACTGGAGACAGCTTTTACCAGAGACAGAGCCTCAGAGGGGCTTCAGCAGCACAGCCAGGTTGAGGAGCTCCTCACCTCCTGCTGTCCCCCTCTTCTGACTGTTCCCTTTCCTCTGGCTGCTGCAGCCTGGCCTGTTTCCCCTCCCTCCCTGCCTGTAGGACCACACTCTAAGCTGGATCACTGAAATAAAGCAGCATAAAAGGTTTTGGGGGGGATATTATTTTAACCTGAGCTGTTTTGGCAGCCTCTGCACGCTGCTGTATCAGTGTGGCTGGAGGGATGGGCCAGCTGTGCTTCAACACTTTGCAAATGCTGAGACTCAAACTCACAGCTGGTTTCTAGAGACATGGCCACAGCAGTGGCCTAGGGCTCTAAAATCAAAATGACACCAGCAACAAAGGGAAAACCCTGACACTTTTACCCTCTGAAAGAGTGTGGAAACAGTCAAGTCAATGGGAGAAAGCTTTTAAACCATACAGAAGGCAAGGATCTTCCTGATCTTCCATATCTCTCTACTAGTGCAAGGAAAGGGAAGGAAAAGTTTTGGGTGCCAAAATCTATCTAAGAGCAGGACAGGTAAAAGCAGATGGGAAAAGACATGTCCTAAAACGGTCCAAAAAAGTTTTTTTTATGATGTAACATTGTAAACAGTACCCTGGTTGACAAAGGGGTGAAAAATGATGGTAGTGTAACTTTTCCTAAATGTGACCTCAGGTTGGACCTAGTGTAGCCAGGGAGAATATAAAATGGGGCTGCCAGGAGTTTTTGATACAACACACAGGACTGGTAAAGCAACAAGTGATAGGATGTGGGAATTTGGTGTTGGGAGCTGCTGGAACATGCAACACAGAGCTGCCAGCTTCTGTCCAGGCAATCCACTGCCTCACAGCCACGCTGGCTGAAGAAGGTCAGATCCAAAGCTGCAAGGGGTAAAAAAAGTTGGCTCAATTTTGTCTAAGAGTTCTTAGTGATAAAGAAGAGTAATTGGCTTGATCCTTCAATCTCAAATGCTTCTGAATCAGTTGGGCAGTCTCCCGTGCCAGCTCAGAAAGAACGGGACGTTTGATGAGCATAGGATGGAAATGAATCACTGTGCAACCCTACTTGGCATGAAAATGCAGCCTCCTTCTGTGGAGAACTCCCAGCACCTGGGAGAGCCCAGCAGGAGCTGGGTGGGTGCACCCAGTCTGAGTGGGATTTCCAAAGTAATGGCTCTCTGGTATCTCACTTTTGTCACCCACAGGTCCCCTGATGGACTGAGATTAATAGCAATCTTTATTCTCTGACCGTATATCTCACACAGAGCTGCTAAATCAAGAGCCCCTTTTTTGTTAATATTGTAAATCTAAAAAAAACCAACCCCAAAACTCCTTAAGAATCGATGTCAGTTTTCATACAGGCATGGGGTCTGCACACGGCAAAAGAGAGAGAAGTAGAATAAAAGAATAAAGGGAGGAGAACATGCAGGTCCACACCTGACACCAGGGACCTTGACTCCACTCACCACGAAACTTAAGAGCAGGTATAATTCTTCTCACTTTACTTACAAGAGAAAGTGAAGCTCTGTCACATACACTTCCTTGCACTCTGTCCTGCTCGTCTGCTCAGAGACTTTGATCTTTAGTCAGTCATCTTTGTTGTATGTTTATTTACATTGTAATTGGACAAGACTTTGAAGGACTCCTGTACCAGAGGAATTCCTGGGGATATAGCCCCTTTTTGATGAAATTCAGAGTGACTAAATTAGCAAAAGACTGACTAAAGATACAATTATTTGCTTGAATTTCGAATCCTGTTTTACCAGCAACAATTTTTAAGGAATCTTGTAATAAAAT